TTATAAAACTTCCTTTTTGTTGCGGAAGAAACAGCGCGCACAAGCACACAGACGCTCTCTGGGAGAGGAGGCACCCGGGAAGGGCAGATTCCAGCACCGCGTGCAGGCCCGGCTCTCATTTGAAAGTTGTCCGAGGGGGTGGAGTGAAGGGGAAGCCAGGCGTGCCGGAAAGGACGGGGTGAGCGGAGTTGGGGGGCCCGGGACCGAGCGCAGAATGTGCTGCAGGGGAGGGCACGCACGGATCTGCTCAGTCTGCAGCACCGTTAATGACTTCGGCATCTGCATTTGCCCCTCCATGACCATCATCATCTGCTCAGTTGCGTCCTTAACAAACGCGTGATTCTCTTTTCTATCCTGCCGTTCAGCTTCCCAGCACTCCTTGCGTTCCCTTTTTTCTGCATTGGAGCACTGCAGGACCTCCCGGAATATGTCTTCTTTGCTGCATCTTGGGCGCTTTCTTATCTGGTGGAGACGCCCGGCCGGGGCGCGTGGGGTGTCCCTCAAGGCTGCATCGGGTGAAGCACAGGGGACGATGCACAGAAGCAGGATTAAGTTCACGCAGAGCACTGAAACATTTCAGTTAAATACACCTTTTGCAACATTGACATCACTTTCTCCCTGACCCTAGCCAGGCACACATCTCTGCGAACAGCCAAAGCATGGGGAGTGTTGGCGTGGGGGTGCTCCACATGGGGAAAAGAGCACACACTCTTTGCAAAAGGTCATGGTGCAGCATTCTAGGGAACAAATTCTAAAATTATCCCACATGTTTCCACAGGCAGGGTAATGCTAGCAGACATCTCACTGCAAAGGGTAAGCAGGGAAACGAGGGTACATCTACTCCATGCTTGTGGCTTCCACCCTGCTCCCTATGCTGCTCGCCTATGTGCTGCTTTGGTCCCTGCACAAGTGAATGGCGTGGGAAAGTTTCCTACAATGGGGGAAGGAACAAAGCTGCTTTGCCATGGAACCTTTAGCAGAGGATGGCCGAGTACCTCCGGAAACCTTTCCTGGAGATCTCTCTGGAGGATTCCCACGAGGGCTCAGTGTGGATTAACACCCTGTTCTGCCGTACTGCTTAGCTACACAGGGAAATGTCCACCTCACTGGAGAACAGCCAGCCTCCCACATTTCTATGCCCTGAACCCACCTCTGGACTACACAAGCCACAGCCACTTACCAGGTGTCTCATCTCCTTCTTCTTGTTCACTGAAGAATGACTGCTGAGACTGGCTAGACACCTCTAGAGTGGAGAACAGTTCCTGGCTGCCTGCCCCACCGGGAGCTGCACATCCTCATCTAACTCCACCTCTTCACCAATAACTTCATCCTCCGGGTTATGTCCTCGTTCCGCCGCCTCCGTGCCCTCCGAAGTATCCACGGGGCTCTTGGCGATGGAGATGGGGTCACCATTCAGGATAGCGTCCAGCTCCTTATAGAATTGGCAGGACTTAGGTGAAGCACTTGAGCGACGGTTTGCCTCCCTTGCCTTATGGCACGTCTGCCTTGGCTCCTTTATCTTTGCTCTGCACTGCAGTGTGTCACGATCATAGCCCTTTTCGCACAAGCCTCGAGAAACGTGTCCATAGATGTCCCGATTCCTATGGCTCAAGTACAGCTGGGAAGTAGAGCCTCCTCTCCCCATACACTGAGCAGATCCAGCAGCTCTGCAGTAGCCCAAGCGGGAGCGCATTTGCTGCAATAACCCGCCATGGTCACCTAGGAAGATGCAATGAGAGCTCTCCACGCCGAGCCAGGGGAAATGGAATTTCAAAAATTCTTGTGGCTTCTAAGAGGGAGGGGTAGACAGTTGTTTCCCTGGCTGCAGGGAAACAAACAAACTGCTGACCAGAGCAGTCAGGATGGGCACTGTGGGACACCTCCTGGAGGCTAATTAAAGTGATGATATCAAGCGTTGTGTCTACACTTGCACTTTGTTGACAAAAATGTAGAGGAAAAAGACGTAAATCTCTTGTGAGGGTGGATGTATTTTGCCGCCAAAACGGGGCATTTTTCCCGACAAAAGTCGCCTCGCAGTGTGTCACGATCATAGCCCTTTTCGCACAAGCCTCGAGAAACGTGTCCATAGATGTCCCGATTCCTATGGCTCAAGTACGCACTCACTGTCTGGGTCGACAAACAGCAGTTTTGGCAACAAAACCTGATAGTGTGGACAAGGCCTCAGTGCTGGTGCTACGTCCACAGCTCTCAGCTCTGCCCCGAGAAGTCCACAGGAGCCGCCCTGCATGCGCAGGGCATGGTGCCGGCCGGACCCTCAGGGCATGGTGCCGGCCGGAGTGCAGCGAGGGACGGTTGGAGCATGGCCACAGGAGCCCAGCGCTGGAGTTGTGAGTGGAGATTAAAAGTGACTGCACTCTCCGTGCCGTCCAGGATGGAGGGAGCTGGGGGGGATCACTCCCGCCCCAGCCTTGGAGAGGAGGGGAGCTGGGGCTAAGCTCGCTGGGGCAGGAACCATGTCTTTGGATATGTTTCTGCAGTGCTCAGTGCAGATGGGCCCTGGCCACTCCCAGCGTATAAATACTGACAGGAATGGAGGCGAATTTCCTGCATCCTCTGCTCTGGCTTCCTCCTCCCCACAGGTGAGACGCCCAGCCAGGGACTTTTCCCCAACCATTCTGCTGTCCCTGCCACACCTCAGCTCCCGCAGACGTGGCCAGGGGACAGGGCAGGCTCCCCAGTGGAGGGCTTGGCAGAGATGCATTTCCTAGGCTCTGGGCTGGCTATGGCTGTCTTTGAAACCTTCCACTGTCACCTGGAGGCTACAACCACAGCAGAGAAGGAAATTGAGGTGAGCAGGCTGAGAGCTGTGGGGGAAACCTCCCGCTACAGACAGCTCTAGTCACGCAGTGCCTAGTCATGCTGAGCACCGAGTATGGCGAGGCTGCTGGGTGATCTGCGGGGCAGGCTCGGCAGCGAGTTCAGGGGCTTGAATGTTCTGCAAAATTAGGACAAAAGTGTCTGAGCTGGGCTCATAGAGATCCCCAGAGCAATGACTGCTGCAGAGGGGATTCCAGGCAGTCCAGACAGCTTTCCCTTCCCTGCTCTGGGCTGCTCCTGGCAGCAGGTGAGCATGGGGAACTCAGTGAGGAATCTCTGTGACATGACACAGCATCACACCACGAACCTGGCTGGAGGTGATGAGCATTTACAGCACAATACGTGTCTGAGCACTGGCTCAGGCTCGGCTCTAAGGACCTTCCCATGGGAAGAACGCTGCTACCCGCTGTGCCAGGCTCCCATGCAGCCCTGTTGCCAGCGCATCCAGCAAGGAGGTGGGGGATGTTATGCTCTGAGTGCGGCTGGAGGGGAATGGTACGGGAGGCCTGTCCCCCTCCCTCACCAGAGGCACCCCAGTTCCCGGGGTACATTCTGGGCCCCTACAGCCTCGTCAGCCCTTCTGGGGTGAGGGGACCCCACACAACGGCCTCTGCTGCTCCCAAACGGAGGGTGTGACGGGTTGGGTCACAGGAAACCCCTTGGGAGCTGCCAACTGATGTGCTGAGACTACCTCTGAGCCCGGTTTCCCTGCCAGCCTCGGACTTTACGGCCTTGCCTGGTTTGAGCCAGACACGCCAGCCTGCTACAAACACAGACCCAGGTCTAAACCACATCCCCCAAAAGCTGCAGGCTAAACTGAAAACAGCTTAAGAAGTGTTCCTGTCTCCAACACCCAGATGCCCAGTTCCCAGTGGGGTCCAAACCCCAAATAAATCCGTTTTACCCTGTATATAGCTTTAGATACTCATAAATTGTTCGCCCTCTATAACACTGATAGAGAGATATGCACAGAGAGAGAGAGCTGTTTGCCTCCCCTCCCCCCAGGTATTAATACATACTCTGGGTTAATTAATAAATAAAACGTGATTTTATTAAATACAAAAAGTAGGATTTAAGTGGTTCCAAGTAATAACAGTCAGAACAAAGTGAATTACCAAGCAAAATAAAATAAAACACAGAAGTCTAAGCTTAGTACAGTAAGAAAACTGAATACAGATAAAATCTCACCCTCAGAGATGTTGCAATAAGCTTCTATCACAGACTGGTTACCTTCCTAGTCTGGGCACAATCCTTTCCCCTGGTACAGCCCTTGTTCCAGCTCAGGTGCGAGCTAGGGGATTTCTCATGACTGCAGCCCCCTTTGTTCTGTTACACTCCCTTATATATCTTTTGCAGAAGGCAGGAATCCTTTGTCCCTCTCTGGGTTCCCACCCCTCCTTCTAAATGGAAAAGCACCAGGTTGAAGATGGATTCCAGGTCAGCTGACATGATCACATGTCACTGTAAGACGTCATTACCCACTTGCCAGCACACACGTATACAGGAAGACTTACAAGTAAACAGAGCCATCTACAGTCAATTGTCCTAGTTGATGGGAGCCATCAAGATTCCAAACCACCATTAATGGCCCACACTTTGCATAATTACAATAGGCCCTCAGAGTTATATTTCATATTTCTAGTTTCAGATACAAGAGTGATACATACATACAAATAGGATGACCACACTCCGTAGATTATAAGCTTTGTAATGATACCTTACAAGAGACCTTTTGCATGAAGCATATTCCAGTTACATTATACTCACACTCATTAGCATATTGTCATAAAATCATACAGAGTGCAATGTCACAGCGGGGCCCAGGGCAGGAAAAGTGGGCCCCACACCACAGCGCCTGACTCTCTGGACAGCCTGGGGACGTGACTCACGCGAGCTCCTATAGGAAGGCTGGGGCAGAGTGAGGGGCACAGGCTGGACGTGCTGACTTGCATCCCCCTGCTCTAAGCCCTACCCCACATGCCCCCTTCCATGCCATGCACAGCGCAGACCCAGTGGGCCCCCCAGCTGGGAGGAGAGCCTTGGGTATCCTTCCAGGGGAAGATGGGGGGGCTGGCGAGTGGAGCTAGGGGGCCCAGAGGCAGATGGAGGGCTGGTGTGTGTGCAGTGGGTTGCAGGTTGTATTAGGCAACACCAAACACACATCCCTCCCCTGCTTCCAATCCCTCCCTTTGCAAGGGCCCCAGGCTTTTCTCCAGAGTGGTCGCAGCTGGCCCTGGCAGGGGCAGGTTGGCATCTATTCCAGGGCACTCTGAGCTCGGCCTTGGCTAGACAGCCAGGCGCAGCGCGAGCCAGGGAGACACACTGCGGAGACTGTCTGATCTGGACAGGCCGAGATACCAGGACCTCTGCTAAGCCAATGCACCCAGTTCCTCATCTCAGGGCTCACAGACCAAAACCCCTCCAAGCAGAGCAGCAGCGTCAGCACAGAAAGGCCCAAGCACCCAGAGCGCTGGAACAGGTTTTATAGCAGGAGAGGCAAAAGCCATTGAACAAGCCTGTAAATGCTGGCTAGGATGGACGCTGTGCATTCAGGGGCTCGGTCTAGCGGCCCTGCTGGGGGCTATGAATTTTGGCATGTGAGGCCGTGGCAGGGGGTGAAAATACTGTTTGGTGGGGATGATGCACGGGAGCCTAAAGGGAGGGGGTAGAAGTCCCGGTACTGAGGCAGCCAGGGCTTTGTAAGAGGCTTGGAGCACTGCCAGCAGTATCCGCCTCTGCTTGGGGAAGGAAATTATTTCAGTCAAAAACAGAAGTGAAAGACACAGCGAAGCCTAGAGTGCCCGGTCTCCTCTTACACTCGGATCCCAGCAGAGCCACAGCGAGGGTGCGGAGCCATGGAGCCCCTCTCTTTCCAGCAGTACATCTTGTCCCTGGACATTGCATCCCTGCCCAGGGTGCTGAAGGTTTGTTCCGGGGTGTACTTCCAAGGTGAGTACCTGCCTTCTCCCCAGCCACAGCCAGGATGTCTCTGCTGCTGGTGCCAGTGGAGTGGGGCCTGGAGACCCAGATTTGCAAAGCCTTGAACTCCTTCAGGAGCCAGGGAAGCAGGGTGCGGCCTGTAGTCACTGCAGAACAGGGCTCGTCCAGCCCAGCCCAGCCTCACCTCGTTCTGTGCTCGCAGCATGGAGTGCTTTGATAGCGACCGCTCTGCGCCACCTCCCACACCAGCAGGAGGTACTGTGGTGACAACACCCAGCAATGGGGAAGGGTCCTTCTGCCAATGCATCGGCAGGGAGCCCTCACTTGTACCCAAGCAGCTTGTGGAGTGGGCTGTGATCTGACCATTGCAATGCACTGAAACCCCATGCACCCTGCCCCCCCACAAAAGCCTGTCTCTGCTGAAGTTATACTGGCCCTCTTCTGCCCATGTAACCCCCCATCCAGCCAACAGAGGGAAATTAATACAATCTGAACAGTGACAAACACAACCCCTCCCCAAGCAGTTTTGACCCCGTAACGGAAGAAGGACAGAGACTGCATGAAGGAACTGAGCTGTTGCTATTGATTTGATGGGGAAGGTTTTCAGCTACTGCACAATGGGCAGCAGCATGAGACAATTCATTGGCCTCTGGCTCCACAGTCCCTATAAACCAGCGGCACTGTGCCAGAAGGGCACAGACCTGCCTGCTGAGCTGGGGCTGCCAATTCCCAGGTGGAACACTTCCCGGGGGCAGAGGTCGAGTTAGAGAGAGAGACCAGCTAGTGCTGAGGCAAGCAATGTTAAGAAGGAGTTAAGAATACGTAACAGCATGAAAATATGCAGTGAACTCTGCCCTGTAGTGACAGCATATGGGTTTTATGGTGTTGGTTAAGCTTAAGAGGTATTATATTTAAGTCATTGTAGGGTTGTGGCCCTATATTAGATCAAACTGATCTTTAAAGGCATATCTAATTTTTTCTTTCTCTGTGTGTGCATGCATGAGTGTTTGTGTGTGCCTGTGTGTATGTGCGCGCGTGCGTGCCAACCCGCACATCTCCCTACAGGGCAGAATTAAGGTTGTTTGCATACCCTAGCTGTGTATTTCCATATTTCAGCATGTTTAGATTTTGTTTCAGTTTAACACTAACTTTGAATTGTCTGGGTTTATAATGGTTGGTTGGGATAATTACACCCTCCCTGGAATGTGTTTTACCCTAAATTACTGACATGTCCTCTCAGCCTTAACTTCATTGGAAGAATTTCCTTGTTTTTTACATTAAAAATGTCATCCGTGGCCACTGCAGCATTGTTGTAGCGGTGCTGGTCCCAGGCTATCAGAGAGACAAGGTGCGGGAGGTCATATCTTTTACTGGACCAGCTTCATTCGGAATTAGAGGTTGGTTCAAAAGAAGATATTATCTCACCTTCCTTGTCCATCCATGACCATTAACAACAAACCCAGCGAGGATGTTCATGGGCGATGATTTGAAGAGCTGTAGAGTCAACACAGAAATGGCTGGTCTAGTTCAGTCTCCTGTCCCCAGCAGTGGCCAGCACCTTCAGAAGAATCATAGAATATCAGGGTTGGAAGGGACCTCAGGAGGTCATCTAGTCCAACCCCCTGCTCAAAGCAGGACCAATCCCCAACTAAATCATCCCAGCCAGGGCTTTGTCAAGCCGGGTCTTAAAAACCTCGAAGGAAGGAGATTCCACCACCTCCCTAGGTAACCCATTCCAGTGTTTCATCACCCTCCTAGTGAAAAAGTTTTTCCTAATATCCAACCTAAACCTCCCACACTGCACCTTGAGACCATTACTCCTCGTTTTATCATCAGCTACCACTGAGAACAGCTGAGCTCCATCCTCTTTGGAACCCCCCTTCAGGTAGTTGAAAGCAGCTATCAAATCCCCCCTCACTCTTCTCTTCTGCAGACTAAACAAGCCCAGTTCCCTCAGCCTCTCCTCGTAAGCCATATGACCCAGCCCCCTAACCATTTTCGTTGCCCTCCATTGGACTCTCTCCCATTTATCCACATCTCTTCTGTAGTGGGGGGCCCAAAACTGGATGTAGTACTCCAGAGGTGGCCTCACCAGTGCCAAATAGAGGGGAATAATCATGTCCCTCAATCTGCTGGCAATGCTCTACTAATGCAGGCCAATATGCCGTTAGCCTTCTTGGCAGCAAAGGCACACTGCTGACTTAGAATCATAGAATAACAGAGTTGGAAGGGACCTCTGGAGGCCATCTAGTCCAACCCCCTGCCCAGAGCAGGACCAATCCCAACTAAATCATCCCAGCCAGGGCTTTGTCAAGCCTGACTTATATCCAGCTTCTCATCCACTGTAATCCCTGATGTCAGACATCACCGGTGTGGTGCTCTGCTCTGGTCAATGTTGATAACAGTCGGCTGTGTGCGTGCATTCCCCCTGTGTGCTGCCCTGGCTCTGCGCAGATAGCTGACACAGCAGACCCCGAGGGAACCCACAATGACCACAGTCTCTGATAAGGTACGAAGGCACCCAGCCAGGTTTATTGTCAAACGAAGCACAGTAATAGTTCCTTGCCGACGCTACAAGACATACTACGAATGTGTGCCCCCTGCCAACGGACCGGCTCGGTCAGTGGTGAGGCTCTCCACTGCCCCCTAGGCCAGACAAAGACATCCCCTCAGGGGTGCATTCTTATACACAGGTACAAAAAAGTTACACATCACTCCTGACATATCGAGGTACAACCCCTCTGCGTGTTGGGGTGCTGCTTCTCTCCTGGTACATGTTGGTTCGAACAAATGAGTCTATCCATCATATTATCCTTTTGACCCTGTCTTTTAGGATGGGTCGGCCTGTTCCTCGTTATTTCTGTGGAATGTGTTCGTACTGGACTGTTCTGGTGCCATCCTGGCACCTGTTTATCCTATTAGTGCTTGATCCTCTTTAGATATGTGTATACGTCCAATTAGCAGCCTTCTTCTTGCCAACTTCTGTGAGCAGGGCCTGTCTCTGGCTCACAGTTTAACTTTGCTTTATGTTAGCAAAGTCTTGACCATTCCTTTAACTCAGGCCTCAGGTCTCATACCGGGCCTCTGATACAAGGGTTTATATTTCAGGGCCTCATTTTTCTACAATCCCCAGGTCCTTTTCTGCAGAACTGCTGCCTAGCCACTCGGTCCCTAATCTGTAGCAGTGCATGGGATTCTTCCGTCCTAAATGCAGGACTCTGCACTTGTCTTTGCTGAACCCCATCAGATTTCTTTTGGCCCAATCCTCCAATTTGTCTAGGTCACTCTGGACCCTATCCATACCCTCCAGCATATCTACCTCTCCCTCCAGCTTAGTGTCACCCGCAAACTTGAAGGTGTGAGAAACACCACAGGAGGCAGATGTGGGATAATCTGCCCCATTAAGGCTTCATCCTAATCCCTGCTAGTCAGAGATTGATGGGTAGAGATTTCCCTTCTATGCTATATAGGTATTTATACCACACTCATCACCATAGTATCTGAGCACTTTCCAGGAGTAGATTAAGCTACATGACTGAACATGGGTCATGTGTTCTTGTTCTCTCAGCCGTTCCCGACAGGGTGACCTATGCAGAAAAGTGTCTTGGTTTGGTAGGGTGTGTTTTTGTTTAAATAAATATATACCTGTTACGAGATGTTTATATTAGAGATGGCAAGGTCAGAGAAATGCCCCTTGCACTTGGGGCAGACAATTGTGAGCTTTGTGATGTTCCCTTCTGAAGAGGGTTGTTAGCATTAACTCTTAAAATTAAAGGAACCTCCACACTTGTTTTTCTGATTAGCTTTTCAGGCCAGATTCCCAGGGCATTTTGGCTGCTTTACCCCAGTCTGGAGCAGCACAAAGTCTCCAGGATGGACTGGCCAGGTCCAGGGCTTCCAACCCTGGCATTGCCAGAACAAAAAACTGGAATGTACACACCAGCTTCCCTCTCCTTCCTGCACCCCTCCCCACCCCATTCCCCTGCTCTCTCTCTCGCACACACACACACACACAGAACCCCCTTCCTGTCCCCCACATTTCCCTGCTCCATCCTCCTCGCTTCCCCCTGGCCAGTGCTGAGTAGATCTGGCACAATGGGTACTTTTTGAAAGCAGTATTTAGGCTGAATGGCCATTTTCACTGTTATTTTTAATAACTGAAGCTGTCTCCTTCAGCAGAAGCTTATGAATAAAATCTCCTTCACAGTGACTCCCAAGGAATTGCCATCTTTGCAAGTGTCTGCCAGACCCCATTTCTCCCAATGGGAGAGGAGCCAAACTGCCCTCAGAGGCAGGTACTCTGGAGGGGCAGGGAAGGAACACTGTGAGGAGCCAGTGAAAAAGTCAATGACCATCTTTGCTAAAGGCAGCCTGTGGCCTCAGTCCCACTGAGACAACAGGAGATGGAAGCTGTTCTGAAAGAGGGCAGTTCTTTGGGGAAGCTGCTGAAGAACAGTGGTTCTTCACCAGGGGTCCGGAGGTCCAGGGGGGGCGTGAGCAGCTTACATGGGGTCCACCAAAATAAACTGGAGAGCAGGGCCAGCGTTAGACTTGCTGGGGCCTGGGTCTGAAGCTGAAGCCTGAGCCCTGCCACCCGGGGCTGAAACCAAAGCTTGAGCAATTTAGCAATGGGGCCCTGGGCACTTGCCCTGCTTGCTACCCCCTAACGCCGGCCCTGACTTTCAATCTACTGAAGATGCAGAAACCCAGTTGTTGTGGCACGGGTGGGCCATGGAGTTGTTATAGTATGGGAGAAGACTCAGAAAGGAAAAGGTTGAAAACCCCTGGGGTAGAACATTATTCATCTGCCCTGCTAAAGACAAAGTTTCAATTATGAAGAATCACAAGATGGAAATATCGATTCATGTAGTTAATGCATGAGATTTGAGAAGTTTTTAACTGTCAGGGAAGTTTGAAGTTTCCATGTTATTCTGTTTTTAAGATCATTAGGGAAAAGGAAAAGATCTGACACCAGATGCCAATTTCTTAAAGGGCCCGTTTCTAAATTC